CGGCGGCGCCTCCCGGCTTCCGTCCCTGCGGCCACCGCACGCCCTCTACGGTGGCCGCGAGGAGCCTCGTGAGGGCGGGCGCACCGTGGTCCGCACGTGATCAGGGGCGGAGCCGCGGAGTCTGGCGGGATTCTCCAGTGTCACACGAGGCCACACCCCCGGCGGGTCTGCCAAGGACCTTGCTAGCCTGGGCGGGGAAGAAGCGGACGGGGTGGGGTCCGCGAGCTAACACGCGTCCAGGAAAAAACGTGCAAGTATTCACGCGAGAGTGGGCGGGACCAATGTCTTGGACGGGGCAACACTCTGGTCGAGTGTGGGGTGTGTATGTGTGCAGTCACTGCACAATGATGTGCGCGTGCCTGTGTGTATGTGTAGGTGTGCAGTCATTGTACAATGTTACCAGCCGCGTAGGCTGCGCGCGTAAACTGGGCCAGAGGACGCCGCGATGCGCCCCCGAAATTGCCCTGAGCACGTGGACACATTTTAGGACGTTTGACCTGCCTTAAACCTACCTGCTCGGGAGCTGAACAGCTGAACGGTAGTGGCACACGCCTTTCGGTAGTGACACACGCCTTTAATCCCAGCACTTGGTAGGCAGAGGCAGATGGATCTCTGAGTTCGAGGCCAACCTAGTCTACAAGAGCTAGCTAATTTCAGGACAGGCACCAAAGCTACAGAGAAACCCTGTCTCAGAAAAACAAAACAAAACACAAAAAACAAAAACCTGCACGAGAGTGCACCTCCTGGCAGCAGTCATCCTGAGTGACATCAGGAACTGGGCAGTATGCTCAGGCTAGACCAAGAGAGACCAAGAAGACCTAGCTGTGATTGAAGCAGGTCACTGCAGGGAGGGGAGGCCTAGCCATGATGAACTGGGAGCGTGGGTGTTGAACAAGCTGAGTGTCATCATCCTTTAAGACTCAGGATACAGAACACCACACAGAATCTTAAAAAAAAAAGATTTTGCGTGCTGGAGATCAAATTCGGGGCCTCCACTCTTGCTTAGTCACTGAGCTACACACTCCGCCTTCATTTTACCCTGAAATCGGGTCTCAAAAGTTTCTCAAGTTGGACCTTAACTCCTGCCTCAACTTCCTTACTATCATGATTCTATGCCTGCACCCTGGTCCAGTTGGACGGGCATTTTATGCAAACACCCCAGTGTATTCTGGAAGCATGGTAACAAATTATCAAGTCCACGCTCACTCTTCTGTGATGGCAGATTATGCTCAGTGGACACAACCACGTAAAAGCCACATGGGCACAGCAATACAACACCAGGTCAGTCTACATGATGATCCAGACACCTGCTAGGTGACAAAGGGGCAAGTGATGCAAGCAGCATGAGTGTGATACCAGGGGACGACTTGTCTGAATGGGATAGAGTGGTGCAGTTTGTTATAAATTCTTTCTGGAATTGTCCCCCAGACAGGGTATCTCTACTATGCTGCTCTGGCTGACTGCCCTGGAGCTTTCTCTGTAGACCAGGCTGGACTTGAACTCACAGAGCCCCAAGGTTATGCTAGTGTCCAGCTCTCAGTGTCTGTCTCTCTCTCTCTCTCTCTCTCTCTCTCTCTCTCTCTCTGTGTGTGTGTGTGTGTGTGTTTTCGATCCACCTGCCTCTGCCTCCTGAGTGCTGGGAGTACACACCACTCCTGGCTGACATTCTCTAATATTTTTAGATCCCAGTTGACAGCAGGTACCCAAATCAGGAGAGCAAAGCCCTGATAATAGGACTCTTAGACAACAAAAAACCTGGCAGTGGTGGTGTACATCTTTAATCTCAGCACTCAGGAGGCAGAGGCAGGTGGATCTCCGAGTTTGAGGCCTACAGAGTGAGTTACAGAGATACCCTGTCTTGAAAGAGAGAGAGAAAGAGAGAGAGAGAGAGAGAGAGAGAGAGAGAGAGAGAGAACTAATAACAGGAATGCCTATGAACTGAAGATATCAAATCAGTGTGACACTTCTGTACACATGGTGGAAAGCAGAGCTGTTAAAAGGTATGACAGATGCTCCAAAATATATTTGACAGGCTGTGTGGAGCATGGTGCTCTGGAAGATGAGACCTAGGGCCTTGTGCCCACCCTCTTCTAGGCTGGACTGTCTCTGAGCAGACGTCCCTAAGCAGGAAGAGGATGGAGGCTTTAGAGGGCAATGGAAATGCCTCCAGGACTTAGCAGGAACTCTCAGAGCACACAACCTAACAAATCCCTCCCCACCCACATGGGCAGAAATAAGACAAGCTGAGAAAAGAAATACACACTTTTATTATCCACTTGAAATAGCACATGCAATTTTAAAAATTATAACTCTTTTATTTAAACATCTCAATAGCATCTTAATTTGGTGGCAGTATAAGTACTACCAAAGACAAATGTTCTGAAAATCATTTACAAAAATACATTGCACAAAGTCCTATCTTGCATCTTTAAAAATAAATATTCAAAATATCTCCACCCCCAGGTCCCAATTTAGTTTAATATAGGAAATTCTGCTTCTGCGTGTAACCTGCAGTATGCAAAATGTGTGCATATCACCTGACCACACAGGCAGTGGCATTAACCCTACGGAGTGGGATGTGCTACTTTGGGGCACTGTATCAAGGACTGCCTGCAACATGCACTAAATCCCAACTCCGAGCCCCAGCAAGTGAGCTCATGCTCTGCCAAGACCTTCTAACCTGAAACTTAACAATTCTTTATGTAAAACGTCTGAACACTTCAAGTGTCCAGATGATCAGTTATAAAGTCTGCTCACAAAATAATCTAAATATTAAATATTAATTATAACCAAATTATAACCAGTCAGGTAAGAAGGTCCAATAATGGTGCAGAGGCAAACCCAAGAGCAGCAGAAAGTGCTGCTGTGAGAAAGACCAAGAGCGACAGTCATCAGCACCACCTGATAGGGTGGCACCTTAGTGTTCCCTCTTCAGCAGAGCCTAACACAGATCAAGGACACCAGAGGGTGACATCAAGAGGTTCCTGTCTGTACTGTGAATGAATTCCACCAGTAATGGCCCAGCTAAGACTCAAGAACGCCATTCATAGTGTGTGTGCCCCCACTGACTTTTGAGTCATGCCCTCAGCAAAAGTCCAATCCACTCTTGTGGGGAATGGTAAGAGGTCCCGTCCCAGCTAAGAGCAGACAGCCCAGGACACACCCAGCCTCTCCCCACCAGGAAACCTGGAAGAGGTCAGATGAAGATGCAGCAGCAGTTTTCCCTGAAAGAAATGTGTGGGTTTAGCAGATGGGACTTTGCCTTCCTGACATCTAGAGAGCCAATGCAGAGCTTTTGGCCTCCATGTCAGGAGCCTGGAACCTGCCAGATTCTGTCTTCTGATTTTATGCATTGAAGCAAATCCCCAAATCAAAGGGAGTGTCTAAGAACCATACATTCAAATGAATCCACAGAGCCCATCAGGCTTTTGGGCCCTGAGCACACACGCACAGCCTCAGAGGACTCAAACATGTCCTCATGGCCATCACACATTTATTGAAGGGTGACAAGTTCCTATGCTCACGTGCACTCTTCTCCAAAGGGTTCCAGTGTTATGGTGTCTTGGTATATACAGACATGTACAAGGCTGGAGTGCTCTACTGGGCAGGTTCTCCATGGACTCGGAAGCGGTAGAGGCAGGTGTACTCAGGGTGGCCCCAGTTGGACAGAACCCGGAGCTCTACTATCTGGAAGGCTTGGTCAGGCCTTTCCTGAATTTAAGGGAATAAGTTATTTTGCATTAGCAGTCAGATCTTTCTTACCCCACCCCTGACCAATCCCTTGCCTTGTGGGATATGTGATAAGATGTAGTCATACCCTGAATAAACCTAGTAGGTAGTTGGGATTTAGGGCAGCATAGACTGCCTGCCATGTTTGACCTTTCACTGAGGCACAGAGCTGGACCATGGCTGATCCTCACCAACCTCTCCACATGCCTGGCCCCACAAAGACATGAATGAGAGAGGCACGATCCTTGTGCTTACCAGTGTGTGGAACATCTGGAGCGAGTCCCCTTCCTGGTCATAGGTGAACCGTCCCAGAGGCTGCCCTTCTTCCTGATACTCCGTTTCCAGTCCCTGCAATGATCATGTGTTATAACAGAGATAACAGAGTCACCACTCCAGCCCTGTTGCCCTGAGTGACAGGTCTTCTCCCCTGAGAGATGCCCTCCCTGGAGAAGTACACTGTCACTGTCTTTCTACAACCCACAACCATCCAAGGGCAGGTGTGGTTACTCCCATTAGGGAAACATGCACACAGTCATACAGAGGCCAGCTCAAGATAGCCATGATCATGCTCAGTAACCCCAAAGACCAGATGCCCTCATGAGAACTCCTATGCAGATTCTGGGTGCCCGAGTAAGGGACATAAGCAGGATATGAGCAGCACGTAGGCTAAAGCAAAGTAGGAAGAGTGGGAAGTTCTGTGGACAGATGGTTGTCAGGGGTGAGCAACAGTGACCATCCCTGTGGCCCCCACATGTCATTTAGATATGCTTAAAATTATGTGTTCTACATTAGAGGAAATATAAAGGACTTTATAATGAGAGAGGACTTCATAGGCAATGAGTAGGTGCTAACTACAAAATGGAGA